CTCTTGGAAGCCTTTTGACACCACTGTTCCCAAAACTTGGCGCCAGTTTCTTTACCCTACACAGTTTTCCACGTTATCAAATTTGTAACGTATGTATCTTTGCATAGAGCGCAGTTGTTGTTGTTCTGGGCATGATAATTTCTGCAATAGTGGCAAAAAAAATTGTTTAAAATGTGCGACACAAAAGCCAGACCAGGCCAAACAGGCAGGCTGGACAGACATCACACAAGTGTTGTCTGTCCCACACTAAACACTGATAATAAGATGTTGTCAAAAGTGGTAACCCAACACAATTTTGAAGGGAGGGCAGGAGCCAATCAGCAAAGAACATTTTTTTTTCAAGCTAAAACTAGATATGACCCAATACATTAAGTCGTGTAGAACTACTTGCAGCCGGTGGTAGTCTGTTGCTGCCTGGTAGTTCACTTATGCGATGCGATAACACATTTTTTTCCTGCGTTATCGGATTACATGCGAACGCAGAAGAAGAAGAAATCAGAGGCGCGATGTGGTATTTTTGTTTGTCGGTTTGGTTGGTTGTTGCGATGGAAGCTTAAACAAGACCGGTTCACTTGTGTGTAGAAGCTTTGATGTTGCAAGGAATAACATGTGCGATTACACATACCAGAAAAGAAGAAAATTATGAATGGTAAATTTGAAAATAAAAAAAATAGACATGGGAATTATTATTAAATTTTTGGATAGATTTTGTCACACATTTTTCAAAAATTAGCTGACTTTATATGAAATTAATGAGGCGATGTAATCAGTGTAACAACATAACCTTAAAATTATTAATATGAGTTCACTTTCCATTACAAAATCTTCAATTTTGCCCAGCTGAATTAGGTTTCTGTTGGGAAATCTTCAACTCAGCCCAGCAGAATTAGGTTTCCATTAGGATATCTTCAATTCAGCCCAGCTGAATTATGTTTCCATTAGGAAATCTTCAATTCAGCCCCGCTGAATTAGGTTTCCATTAGGAAATGTTCAATTCAGCCCCGCTGAATTAGGTTTCCATTAGGAAATCTTCAATTCAGCCCCTCTGAATTAGGTTTCCATTAGGAAATCTTCAATTCAGCCCCGCTGAATTAGGTTTCCATTAGGAAATTTTCAATTCAGCCCCGCTGAATTAGGTTTCCATTCGGAAATCTTTAATTCAGCCCGGCTGAATTAGGTTTCCATTAGAAAATGTTCAAATCAGCCCCGCTGAATTAGGTTTCCATTAGGAAATCTTCAATTCAGTCCACCTGAATTAGTTTTACTATGGAAAATGTTCAATTCAGCCCAGCTGAATTAAGGTTTCCATTGGAAATCATCAATTCAGACCGGCTGAATTAGGTTTCCATGAGGAAATCTTTAATTCAGCCCAGCTGAATTAGGTTTCCATTAAGAAATTTTTAATTCAGCCCAGCTGAATTAGGTTTTCATTAGGAAATCTTCAATTCAGCCTAGGTGAATCAGGTTTCCATTAGGAAATATTCAATTCAACCTGGCTGAATTAGATTACCATTGGGAAATCTTCCTTTAAGCCTTGCTGAATTAGGTATATTTTAGGAAATCTTTAATTCAGCCCAGCTGAATAAGGTTTCCATTAGGAAATCTTCAAATCAGCCTAGGTGAATTAGATGTCCAATAGGAAATCTTCAATTCAGCCCGAGTGAATTAAGTTTCCATTTGGAAATCTTCAAGTCAGCCTAGGTGAATCAGGTTTCCATTAGGAAATATTCAATTCAACCTGGCTGAATTAGATTACCATTGGGAAATCTTCCTTTAAGCCTTGCTGAATTAGGTATATTTTAGGAAATCTTTAATTCAGCCCAGCTGAATAAGGTTTCCATTAGGAAATCTTCAAATCAGCCTAGGTGAATTAGATGTCCAATAGGAAATCTTCAATTCAGCCCGAGTGAATTAAGTTTCCATTTGGCAATCTTCAAGTCAGCCTTGCTGAATAAGGTTTGACACATCAAAGAAACTCAAAATTTCAAATTTACCTACAATTCGGCTGTTAAAACGCGCAAAAATACTTAAAATATCGAAAATCGGAGGTACGGTCATAAACGTGAACCGATACTGAGATTTATCACTCAATGAGAACTCCAAATATCAAATTACAGGCAATTCGGTTGAAAAACCTGTGTAAAATCATTGGATACCGAAAATCGGAGGTACGGTCATAATGGGGGCTATATTAAAACGTCAACCGATACTGATCATTTTTGGTAGGAAGATTTATCACCCAATGAGAACTCAAACCAAATCGGTTGAAAAAACGTGCCAAAAATACTCAAAATATGAACAGATATTGATCATTGTCAATAGAAAAATTTGCCTCCCAATGAGAACTCAAAATACCAAATTGCAGTCAATTCGAATGAAAAACGTTCCCAAAACCATTAAAATGCCGAAAATCGGAGGTACCGGCATAATGGGGGCTATACCAAAACGTGAACCGATATTGATAATTTTTGGTAGGTAGATGTACCACCCAATGAGAACTCAAAATGCCAAATTACAGCCAAATCGATTTTAAAAACATGCCCAAAATCTTCAAAATTCGGAATGATGATGGGTACCGTTATATGGGGACTATACCAAAACGTCAACCGTTATGCATAATTTTTGGTAGGAAGATTGGCCACCCAATTAGAACTCAAAATATTAAATTACAGCCAATTCGATTGAAAAACATGTCCAAGATCCTCAAAATTACGAATAATTGGGGTTACAGTTATATGGAGGCTATCCTGAAACATAGACCAACATTGATAAATTTTGGTAAGAACATTTGCTAACCAATGAGAACCCTAAATACAAAATTACAGCCACATTGATTATAAAGAGTGTCCAAAATACCAAATAATGGGTGATACCGTTACATAGGGTCCACCCCGAAATATGGGCCAAAATTGACAATTTTTGGTAGGTAGATTTACCACCCAATGAGAACTTAAAATATAAAATTATAGCCAATTCGGGGTCCACCCCGAAATATGGGCCAAAATTGACAATTTTTGGTAGGTAGATTTACCACCCAATGAGAACTTAAAATATAAAATTATAGCCAATTCGGGGTCCACCCCGAAATATGGGCCAAAATTGACAATTTTTGGTAGGTAGATTTACCACCCAATGAGAACTTAAAATATAAAATTATAGCCAATTCGATTTAAAAACATGTCCAATATTCTCAAAATTGTGAATAATGGTGGGTGCGGTTATATGGAGTTATCCATAACAATGGACCAGTATAAATAATTTTTAGTATCAAAATTTACCACCCACAGAGAACTCAAAATATCAAATTACAGTAAATTCGATTAAAAAACATGCCCCAAATCCTCAAAATTCCGAATAATGGTGGGTACGATTATATGGGGGCTACCCCTAAACATGAACCAATTTATATAATTTTTAGTATCAAGTTTTACCAATCAAAGAAAACTCAAAATATCAAATTACAGCCAAATCGGTTTTAAAAACATGCACAATATCTTCAAAATTCGGAATAATGATCGGTACCATTATATGGGGACTATACCAAAACGTGAACCAATGAGAACTCCAAATACCAAATTACAGCCGATTCGATTGAAAAACATTCCCGAGGATCCTCAAAATACCGAACAATAGTGGGAACAGTTATATGGAGTCTATTTCAAATCATGGATCAATATTGATAATTTTTGGTATTGAGATTACCTACATAATGAGAACTAAAAATACCAAATTACAGTCAATTCGGTTATAAAGGGTGCCCAAAATACCGAATAATGGATGGCACCGTTAAATAGAGTCACCCCGAAATATGGACCATTATTGGTAATTTTTGGTCGAAAGATTTTCTAACCAATCAGAATCCAAGAAATAAAATCACAGCCCCTTTGGTTGTTGTTGTAGCAGCCCTATTGCTTTTACACAATGGGCCGAGGTGACAGACGTTGGCCGAGTAAGTCTCAGATCGTAGACCCCTCTGTCGTGGAAACGACAGCCCATTTGGTTGAAATCCTTCCCTAATCTCCCCGAAATAACGAAATTTGGGAGGTACCGTTATAAGAGAGCTACCCCGACACATGGGCCAATATGACTAATTTTTGGCATTGAGATTTTCTTGCCCACTGAGAACTCAAAATAACAAATTACAGGGAATTCGTATGAAAAACTAGTCTAAACTTCCAATATACCGAACATGGAAGGTACCATTATTTCGAATTTTGTATTCAGATTTCTTTTAAATATGTTATTAGGTTATAACATCCTCAATTATGTTATTAAGTTATAACATAACCTTAAATTTGATTATTACATAACCTCAAATCTGAGAAAGGAAATTGATAAATTTTTGTTGTATTTAATACATTATCAAACATATGAAAATATTTCAAAACAAATTTAAAAAAATCATCAGAATACTTTGGACTGATTTTACCTGCATTCTCCAACATAACCTCAATTAAAGGAGATTTTTTTCGAATTAAAAAATAAAAGAACGTGGAAATTTCTTAAATATTTTTTAATTATAAGAATAAAAATATATTTAACAATTTAAAAAGGATTTTTATTATATAAAATAATAATTGATAATGATATTGCAACATAACCTCAATTATTGCAACATAACCTCAAATATACGTTCCTTTTTTTCGAATAAAATCTCTTGGTACAAAAATTAAATTAAATTTTAAACAGAATGTTCTTAATGTTTAAAATTATTTGATATTCCAACATAACCCCAAATATTGCAACATAACCTCAAATATAAGTTCAGGTTTTCGAATAAAAACCCTTAAATTCTTGATACAAAATTTTGTAAAGAATTTTAAAGTCAAAGAGGGATAATTTTTTTAAAACATTTTTAAATTGCGCTCTAAAAATTATTCCCAAAAATTGAGAATTTTTCAAATATTTTTTTTTTTAAATATTTCACCCAAAATTTTCCATATTCCTTATTTTAAATATTACAAAATAATTCTCTTAGAAAAAAACGGTTCTTCACTTACCTTATAATGATGCCACTGCTTCATTAAATGTTCATAACACAAATGACATGCCTGGATCATGCCACGTGGATCCATGGGACGCGATCTGGCCGGTCGTGGATGCATATCATAAAAGATGGGAAAATATGGACGATCCACTTTATCATCTTTGGATTTGAGAGTGCTAATTTCAATTAGACTACCACGACGCTGTTCCTCTCCACAGGCATAACACACCTCGGTGGTGGAATTTTTATCGGGCATTGATAAATCCAGAATGCCCACATCAACCACCGGTGGAACTGGGGTGGTATTGCTATTATTATTATTTGGCATTGCCGTTGGTGTTGAGGGGGCTGAGGATATGGTATTATGTGTGGCTCCCGCACCCGTTGGATTTGGTGGTATTGAAGATGGCCGGGTGTTACGCAAATCCAAGACATCTTCTGTTTCTCGTTCCCGTTGCAGCGATGAACTGTAGTCAACACTATAGGGGCTGGGGGGACAATGTTGAGGTGTTGTGGTACGCCCGGCATTGGGATCTGAGGGTGACATATCCCTTGGTGGTGGTGTGGGTTTTATTTGATAATTGTGCGGTGCATTTGGGTCCATATTCAAATGTGGAGCACTGTTGTAGTGGGATGGTGGTGTAACACCCTGACCATAGGCATTGTGCAACACCGAATTGGAATAGGATAGCTGACCCAATTTCAATTTGTGATGGGCAAATGATGAGGGTTTAATGCTCAAGCTTTCAAAGGCATTACCTTGTACACTGGAGGGCCGTGAAGAGGGGGATGGTAACTGTAAATTACCACCACCCTCACGTGATTGTGGCCTACTCAAGGATTGTGATCTTTCATTGGGATTACGCGAAAGAGAGAGTGGCGAGTTTCGGGTATAATAATCTTGAGCGGTGTTGGGTGCTGGGGAGGGTGAAGAGTTCCGAGATAAAGAACCTCCTCCTTGTCCACCGGCCATTTGTTGTGGGTGTAGTGAGTTGGTATTGGGATTCGTTGTAGCATTATAAGCTGATTCATTGCGATAATGTGGTGTGTTGTTGTTGCTGTTCCGACTATAGCCATAAGGCATTTGTGGTGAGGCGGCATGTTGCTGACGATGTTGTTGTTGCTGCTGCTGTTGTTGTTGTAATTGCTGTTGCACATTGTCATTAGCTAGGCTAGATTGGGCTAAATGCTCGGCACTCAGACCCAACATTTGGGCAGCATATTCACCCTGTGTGGCAATATCAGCCCCTATATAGGGTTTATTATCTACCCTTTTCATGTGATAGATTCGCTGTATGTGTGGCTTCTTTTCCCTTTCATAGGCATTCCATTGTTCATTAAGCGATAGATAGCAGAGATGACAGGCCATAACATAGGCTTGTTGCCCAGAGACTTGGGGTACTCCGGTTGGAGGTTCATGACGTTCCAAAAATGGGAAATAGGATTCTTGAGGGCGTTCGTAATTGGGTTTTATACGCAACATTTGATAGGCCCCTTGGCCACCGCAAACATAGCACAAAGGCATTGCCTCGGCGGAGCGATAGAGATGATGTTGTTGTTGTTGCTGAAGCTGCTGATGTTGGAGGTGTTGTTGTTGCAGCTGATGATGGTGATGGGCGGCCACAGCGGCAGCATAATGTTGCTGCTGCTGTTGTTGTTGTGCCTGCTGTTGCTGCTGATGTTGTGATGAGGCCGATGGAGGCCTAGATTGCTCCGCTTGTTGCTGCTGCTGTTGCTGTTGGCTACTTTTAAGCTCATTTTTAATATAAGCCTTGGCCTTTTCCATTATTCACTAAGCTGGCAAAGCAATTCTCTTAGTCTCTACCTCTGCTTCCTCTCTCTGCAAGGTAGGTAAGAAAGAATATTAATTAATTAAATCCCTTGCAACAAATTAAGCCATCAAACATACCTGGTGTGTGTGTCTGTGGTTCCTCCGGGACCTCCTATTATTGGACCATAGACCTGGTTTGGCAATTTGTTATCCTAAACAGCCAATTCATCTATCCCGGCACATTTGAGGCACTTGTGTGTTGTGGCAATTGGATACAGCTGTATATACATATATCTGATGGGGTGTATGTGGAACTATGTGTGTGTGCGTGTGCGCTTATTTATGTATGCACTCAATGCACTCTGCTGGTTCTACTGCTGCTGCTGCAGATGATGGGTTGGCTGGCTGACTGGCAGGCAGGCTGGCTGGTCGGTCGCTTGGTTGGTTGATTGTTTGGTTTTGGTTTGGCGATCAATGTTGATGGGATGAGATGACGATGATACGAATTTTGACGATTTGCTGTTGTTGTCGTTGTTGTTGCTTTTGCAAAATTTTATATATTTATTTTTCTACACTGAAGCTGATGCTGCTGCTGCAGTCGTAGTTGTTGTTGTTGTGATACGAAAATTGTTTTATTTGATATTTTTATTGGTTTGCAATTGCATCGACGAAGCAGTAGCCCACCCAGAGTGTAGAGTTGATGGTGGTGTCCTCGTTGTTGTCATAACGTACTCGAATAGATGGTTGACGTCGTTCGAATGCAGCCAGCCAGGCAGGCAATTTGTTGTAATGGAAAATATGGAAGAGGAGGTGGAGGAGGAGGAGCGTGTGGAGGCCACAATGCAACACAACTGCTGCAACACACTGCTGCTGGTCAAGTTCTAAATTGTGGTTTCTTCCCGAACGAATAAATACCGATTCAAATTTGTTTTGCAATTCCTGCTCAATCTTGCTGTCTCTATTTCCACAAAATAATTTTCCGATTATTATTCCAATTGTTCTTTACACACAAAAAAAATCACAACACGACTTTCAGACAGACGGACACACAAAACGTCGTAGTACGACAGCGGGAACCTTGCTCCAATTTAACAAAAAAAAAAAAAATACGAAAAACGAGAAAATACAAAAAAACTATATAAAACGAAACTTTTCACCGAACGTCGTGTCCCTAAACACACAAAATATCATCATACAATTGACTTTAGTTGTTGTTGCTACTACTATTTTTGTTGTTGTTGCTGCTGTTGTTGGTGTTGTCGGTAACAAAAAAAAATTATTTAGCCTTTTTTTCTGTGCGATAACTCGCTCGCTCGTTGCACTTCAATTTTGGCCTAGCAAAACAAATCCCGTTTTATTGATGCGTTACGCTCACTTCGTTGTCTAAATATTGCACGACGGCAAATGTCCGATATTCTGCGGTATTATTCACAAGATTTTTGCAATATTTTTACAATTATTTCCATTAAAAATTGAGAAATTAATTATGGAACAACAAAGAACCGAGCCATACTGATTAGGGATCTATAGACCGATTTGCCAATAATCGATTAATCGTTAAAGGTTTTTGGCAATCGATTTTTTCTTGCAGGTGCATTTGTTGAGCTCTATTGTATAGGGTGATGGAAATCGTTTTTTGCTATTTTGTGGGGTGTCGATAACTAGGAATAGAGTGCTAGAAATCGAAATGGTGCAGAGAGCGATAAATTAAAAATAAATTGTAATTTTAGGTAAATTACAGCTGTATTTCTTTAAGTAAAATAAATAAAAGTTTGACGTGTTTAGATCATAACTTCTAAATCGAATCGATTTGTAAATCTAATCAAAGTATTTGATGTAATTTAAAGCATACTTTTAGGAGAAGTGTATTGGGGATTTAGGATAGAATTTTGAATGATTTTAACGATTTCAATTGGTAAACATTCGACGTTAAAATTTACGACATATTTGAAAATCGCGACAGATAAGCCGTTTGTTGTTGCAGTAGAAGCTCCGCTGATTTTACCCTGCTTTTACAAGAAACAGAACGATCGAAGACAATTGAGTTTATGCGTGTCAAAATCATGTATGAAAATATTAATTATTGGTCTGTTCCTGTACTGCAAGAATCTATGAGATTTTACTATTTTTTCCGATATCATAAAGGAAAAATGTGTTATCGTAGTAAAAAATAGTAGATTCTTGCAGTACGGAACAGGCCATATATTACCTTATTCAATTTCAATTAAATTAATTATTTAAATTATTCAATTATTCCATTAATTCAATCAAATTATTTAATTTCTTTAATGTTTAATCCATTTCGTCGCACTTATTTATGTTTTAAATTATTTGTGGATTATTTTGCTTTTAAATGTCATAGACTTTTCACGACCCATTTTTGGGGTATATTTCGCCTTTGGGGTAGCCTCGATGAATATCAAATCATGTGTGTGACATAGAAAATCTGTCAATTTAACTTTTAAATCGAATCGATTTGTAAATCGAATCAAAGTAGTTAATGTAATTTGAAGCATAATTTTAGGAGAAGCGATAATATTTTTTTTTGTGGCAAAAGCAGGGTTTATTGGGGAGTATCTCGATTTAGGATAGGATTTTGAGGTATTGAGTGGTAATTGGGGTAAATTCAACTCAACAGTAATTAAATCGAGGTCAATTTATGTAAAAAAAAACTATTATCTAATTGTCGAGCAAATCGAGATATTGAGCCGTAAATCGATGTAAATTCAGTTCGATAACAATTCAATCGAGCTCAAATTTATCACCATAAAAGCTATTTTCTAAATGCGCTTTTTGTCCAATCCAGTAATTCGGCATTATAGCATAGAGCGAGTTTAGACTACAAATCCACTCGATAACAATTCCATAGCGTAACAAGCCACCTTGGAAACAAAATTGTAATCAGCTGATAGCAATGCCCTACCTTTTAATAAATATACCATATTAAAATCTCCATAGTAAATTACTTTGTTTGCCAAGAACTGAAAATGTTTCTGTTGTATACTAGAAATTAATGTAAAAAAACACTTCGTCGAGCATCAAGCCCACCCATTCCCTTTGCTACGTCGGTGATTATATATATTATTTAGATTAAGGGGACCTCCCCCATTCTCGAATTTTAATTTTTCAAGATTTTTTGCCGTCACTTGATGCAGACACAATAAATCGGCTATGTCTTCAAGAATTCTTGTGATTTTCACTTGAAATTTTGTAGAAACCGAGAATGGAGCTAAGCTATTATTACAAAAGTATCTTAATTATTGAACCATTGTCGTATTTCACATAATATCAGCTGTTTTTATATGAAATTTGAGCAAAAAAATATCAAGCCAGTTTAATACGTCGCCATGCCGCTTTATTACTATTTCGATAAGTCAAAAATGTCCAACTCAAGGCCTATAAATAAGGTCACCCAGGGAGACTAGCTGGATATCAGCTACCACTCAAGTTTGCTGTCGAAATGCATTATTGTGAATTGACTTTCATTATAAAAACGTAAACAAAGTCCAAATTTTTGACATTAGACTTGAGAAAAAACACCCGTTTTCCGATTTCGATTGCTACCTGGGTGTCCTTATTAATAGATCTTGGTTCAATTATAACGTGGACAATGTTGTCAATTACCACAAAGTATTGTCTTGAAAAAAGGTTTGTTATTAAACATGTAAATTTCAATTTAATGGACTATGATTTAGGCTATTATTACAAAAGTATGTAAATTATTGAACCTCCATCCTATTTCGTATAATAACAGCTGTTTTTTTATGGAATTTGAGTAAAAATTGTCAAGCCAGTTTAATACGTCGCCTTGCCGCTCTATTTCTATTTCGATAAGTTAAAAATCGATTTCCCAACTAAAACGTGTAACAATGTTGCCAACTACCAAAAATTGGATTGTCTTGACAAAAGGGTAGTTCACACCCTGTAATTGATCATTTGATTAACCTAATTAATAGCGGAGATTAAATAAAAAAGGTTTTAAGAGATTTTAATATTCCTCGCTGCAGCATTAAAATTAAAAAAAGAGATTTTAATGGAAATATTGAATAGAATAAAATGTACCGTCAATATATATATATTTAAATAAAAAACAAAAATTGATAAATAATAAAATTAAACAATAAATGTTCAAATACTTCAACCACAATTTTGAAAAAGAAATCGCAGGATTTCGTTTATTTTCCTCATTATTATTTACGTTGAAAAATGTCAATTTTTTTCATTTCACTTTGACTAGACTCCATGGCATAATTACAGAAGGTAGCCTCATTTGAGAATTTGATGATGGCTACTCTTTTTAATTTGGAATTCATATATCAATTTCAAATAAAATGAAAAATAAATTCCATAAATTTTTATGTATGTCGATTGGCAAATTTTAAATAAAATTTATTTTCTAAAGCTGAACACTGCGACGAAGTTTTAACCATGGTTGTTCCACCTTATATTTATAAGTTTTAGAGCCAGGGAACTTCAAAATATTTATAAATTTATATTATTTAGCGATTTTTGCCACTGAACACATGATATGAGTACATTTCGAAGGAGGGTATTTTCATTTAAAATTTGAAAGTTGAATACTGTCAAAGGCAAGTTTATGAAAAAATTGGGAACATATGACTGCATGAGACTACCTTGTATAATTATGTAATGCTTACAATATTGGAACAAACCAATATATGTCAATTAAATCCTCATAGAGGTGGTTAACCCGGAAGAAAAGTTCTAATGTAAATGCCGTTTTACATTGTACAGGATTTCGTTAACCCAGTGGTTTTAATTTGTCAATTTCATTGCATGTATGTCCTCATAAAGTAGGTTAACCCGGTAAAAAGTTCTAATGTATATGTCATTTCTGCCTCCTCTCATTTTAGTAATAATTTTTTCGTAATTCCTATACCTATGTTTACATCAAATGTGTTTTAATAAAAACTATATTTTATTGTTAATTTTCCTTACAATTAATAGCCTAATAGTTCACCTTAAAGCAGCTTTAATGAAACACGTCATTGTCAACTTTCCTATATCTCAACCATGATGCAATCATATCAAAACAAAAAACATTTGGTTTTATCCCGACCATAGCACAATAAGTAGGAAGTCCATTTAGCGCAGTTGATGTCTTGATTAACTGTCAAAGTGGGTAATTTCTACTTGTATTCGATGTGCAATGTTTCATTAATCAAAAACGAAAGTTAGAGGTTCGAAGGCGATCAGATGCCGCTCTAGTTCTAACCATAAACGATGCCAGCTAGCAATTGGGTGTAGCTACTTTTATGGCTCTCTCAGTCGCTTCCCGGGAAACCAAAGCTTTTGGGCTCCGGGGGAAGTATGGTTGCAAAGCTGAAACTTAAAGAAATTGACTCAATTGTCATATTTTTTGACTCAACACGGGAAAACTTACCAGGTCCGAACATAAGTGTGTGATAGCTCTTTCTCGAATCTATGGGTGGTGGTGCATGGTCGTTCTTAGTTCGTGGAGTGATTTGTCTGGTTAATTCCGATAACGAACGAAACTCAAATATATTAAATAGATGCTTTAAGGATTATGTGGTTGAAGCTTTTATTGCCTTCATTCGTAAAGTGGAGCCGTACCTGTTGGTTTGTCCCATTATAAGGACACTAGTTTCTTAAATGGACAAATTGCGTCTAGCAATAATGAGATTGAGCAATAAAAGGTATGTGATGCCTTTAGATGTGCACGTGGGATGCACGCGCGCTACATTGAAAGTATCAACGTGTATTTCCTAGACCGAGAGATCCGGGTAAACCGCTGAACCACTTTCATGCTTGGGATTGTGAACTGAAATTGTTTACATGAACTTGGAATTCCCAGTAAGCGTGAGTCATTAACTCGCATTGATTACATCCCTGCCCTTTGTAGACACCGCCCGTCGCTACTACCGATTGAATTATTTAGTGAGGTCTCCGGACGTGGTCACTGTAACGCCTCGTGTGTTACGGATGTTTCGCAAAAGTTGACCGAAATATTACAAGGAATCATTTGACAGATGGTCGGGACAAACACAAAGGTTTTTATTTTGATATGTCACCTTATTATTGCATCATGATCCCAACCATCTGTCAATTTTTTTCTTAGTAATATTTCACATGGTTGGCAACATTGCACATCGAATTAAAGTAGAAACTACGCACTTTGACAGTTAATCGAATAGTCAGCTGCTCTATTTATTGTGCCATGATCTCAATCTATTGTCATATTTTTTAACAGAAATATATATACTCTAATCCAATAACCCCATAAATGAGACACAGTTCATTATCTTTTAAATGTTAGAAATAAATTCCGCTGAATTATCACAGCTGTCTTGATAAAAAGATTATTGACATTTGATGATAAACAGATTTTTGACATTATCCTTTTTTCTGAAATTGTCACTGAAAATTCCCAACAAATGTTATCTGTTAACCCCAATAAGAACAAAACGAAAAAATATGACACTTCAAGTATGCCAATATGTAAATAAAAAATTCCAGACACTCACCCTCCCTCAGTGAGTCAATGACACATTTGGAAAAAAGAAAAAACACTTTGTTTACAGGTATGTTTATATATGTATGTATATAATTGCATTGTTTTTTATTGCGACTGTAATTAAAACGTTTATATCTTTGTTTTTTATAATTAAACGTAAAATTGTTTCTGTTGTTGTTGATGATAACAAATCTTGGTCGTTTTTTTGTTTTTTATAATTTTTTTCATTTTGCATCAGATCAAAAGGACAAATACACAAACAAAAAATAATAATAATATTTACACATAAAAATAATAATAAAAAATCATCATAAAAAAATAATATAATAATTAATATAATTAATAATAATAAATAGGTGCTTAACAAATAAGAGAACATTTTTCTTGTTATTTAGTTGTTGTTTTTTAATTTACTTAAATGCTACAAATTGAAGGAATTTGAAGAAAATATTGGTTATTCAAGTTCAATGTGAAGAAGAAGTAGAATATGAACGCGTTTAGAGTAAATCCACTTGATTTCAAATGTCAAATTTATGGCGTACGTCATATATATCCCATGATGCAATAATAAGGTGATGTATCACAACAACAACCTTTGTTTTTGTCTCGATTATCTGTCAAATTTTTCCATATAATATTTCAAGTGGTTGGCAACACTGCACAACGAATTCAAGTAGAAATTACCCACTTTGACAATTAATCAAGACATCAGCTGCGCTAAATGGCCTACCTATTCATTGTGCCATGACTAATCCAGTGAATCACGTTTGACGTATACGACAATGCCATATGTTTGAGATGCCATATGGGATTTCGTGAATCTAAACGCCCATTTAGAAGTAGTAGATAGATTTGTGTTAATAGCTATTTATCTTCACTAGTGTTATACTGGTTCGTTAGAGGTCTCAGGGAATTGGGAGAGCGAAATTTTTCTCCCATTGGGCTTATTTAGGCCACCGCTGTCAATTTAGGTACATTTGTTGCTGTGGTTTCATGACTTTTTGTGGGCGTAGTTGCCGCCGACGACGATGAACTCCTCAATTCAGGTGGCAAATAAATCTTAACCACATCCGTAACTTTGACCCTACAATTCGGGCATTTATCACACCGGGCTGCACATTGGGAACAGGCCATAACATGACAACAGGGATTAAACATGGTATTTATGGAATTATCCATACATATTTTACATGTCATTGCCTCGGAGATGCGAGTGTCAACACAGCGCTCAATTGCCGCCTCACGTTCTTCTTTTTCCCGCAACATCATATCCAAACTGCAGGCCATCGATGAGGCTGCCGCATTGGCCGAAGTCTCATTGAAACCTTTCATAATGGGCATTAAATGTGCCAGGTCTTCCACTTCAGTGCCATCGTTTTGCGATGATGCCGACGACGACGACGAGGATGGCGTTGACGCTGATGCCAGCTCATTATCACGCACTGAGGTTACAATGCCACGCTTATGCAAAACGCGTCTGGCTTCTTCAATTACCTCACGGCTCGTATGGCGAATATCGAAAATGTATTTCTTGCCCAGTTCGGTGTCTTCTTTGAACATCGAGGCAATGGTTCCCTTGAGATCTCGGGTAAATTGATTGGTTACCACACCGCGCACCTTGTCACACACATAGAAGGCATGACGCTCCGTAATGGAACGGTACAAACCGGCGGCAATGCAGTGTTTGGGTAATTTAATATCCACTTCGCGGCGATCATTGTTATCGTCTACATATTCTAGTTTAAATGTACGTCTAAACGATTTAGCAGCAGCAATTGCGCTAAATGGAATGCTGCAAAGAAAAAACAACAACAAATTAGTATTACAAAAACAACAACAACAAAAAAGATATCACTTACTTCTTTACATTATCTCCGGTTGAAACTCGTATGCCATGCGCTCCTACTGCTATATCACAACGCTGCGAATTTTCACCAATGGTGAAACCGCAAAAAACTTCCTCACCATAGCCAGGCAGATCTTGAATCTCATGCAGCAGCCAATATTTAGCGGACTTGGGTGACATTTTCAACATTGCCAATTTGCCATGTTCCACGGCTATCTGCTTGAGAAATTCATCGGGCAGGTGGCCGGTCTCATCTTCATTTACTGGCCTTATCACGTAATCCTGATAGATACGCAGGGGAGAATTTTTAATGGTATTTTCTATGGACTCGTTAAGACTACAAATATCGCAGGCACTTTTCGTTTCGTTAGGTACTTTGGTAGTAGTTTCATTTGTACTTGAGGTAAGTGGTTTTTGGTGTAAGCTACAGGTCAAGGCCGGGCAGGAGGAGGTCGAAGCAGCAGCTGGCATCGTGGAAGCTGTCGTCGATGCCGAGTTTGAATTTACGGACGCTGAGGATGTTGAGGGAGAGGAGGCGGCGGCGGAGGAGGAATTTGCGACAGCATTTGCCTGACTTTGTGGTGTATCTATATTCTCCACGGACTTCTGTTTCGATAGCCTCCTCTTCTTAAACGACAGCACATGATCCCGATCTTTGCGTTCCTTCTGAGCCGACTGTTGTTGCTGCTGCTGTTGTTGTAACAGCTGTTGTTGTTGCTCCTGCAACCTCTTTTCATGTTCACGACGCATTTTCAACGGACACTCCGCCTTCAGGGTAGCCTCATTAAATATTAAACCATCTGCCTGACACAGGAATGCTGCCAATTTAGCAGCATTTGACCAATTGCGAGCATTTAAACGTCCCTCCAACAGATCCGATTTGGCTTGCATATAAAAGAGATTTCTTACACTATCCTGCAGGATAAAATGTACTGGGACCCAGAACTTGACACGCAGAGCCAACATTAAGGGTATACCACTGCCGCCGGTACCATCACAGGATAGGCGATTACGCAAGTTGATCCATTGGCGGGTACGTGACTCTTTTTGATTTGGCGCCCAATGTTCCAGACCGAAATATTCCATTTCACAGATTATGTCCAAGGCTTTGCAGACCTGAAAGGAAAATTGAGAGAGAAAAAATGAATAGGTTATCACTGGGGAATTGTAAGAGAGAGGGAGAGAGAGAAAGTTAGGGTATTATGCATATAAATTTCTTTTGTAGGGATTAATAGGTCATTACTAGCCTATTGTAAGGAAGAGAGAGAGGGAGAAAAAAATTTAGGTCGTTTTCCTATAAGGTTCTCTTCTAGGGATTAATAGGTTATCACTAGGGAATTGTAAGAAGAGAGAGAGAGAGAGTGTGTGTGAAAATTTAGGTAGTTTTCCTATAAGGTTGGCTTGTACGGATTAATAGGTTATCACTAGGGAATTGTAAGAGATAGAGAGACAGAAAATTTAGATAGTTTTCCTATAAGGTTCTCTGGTCCTTTTTTATTTATTTTACTTATCAAAACAAAGAATCGATGTGAAATACCTTTTATCTACCACACCTTGACATGTATTTAATAATAACCTAGCCTAAGTACAGTATTTTCTATATAAATATTTGAACATTATTATCATTCCGATTTTTCTTCTTTTTTTTTTGTTATCTGACTGAGTGGGGCCTGTGTTTATCTTTGGAAATTATTAATATAAATATTGTTTACAGATTAGGCAAGTTGACATTTAATTTACGATAAGGAAAGCTCACACAATATATATATATATATATATATACATAATTTATTGTACAGCATTTGGAAAAAAAGAACACCTTTCATTTTGTTCGGCCATGTTTATTTTTTGGGACTTCCAAAAAAATGTATATATATCTTAAATTGTTGTTGATTTCTGTTGAACAACTGGATCAACGACATATTTAGTATTGGTAATATATATGCGATAAACAAATATTCCGAAGTGTGTTGATGAGTAATGTATAATTTTAAATTTGAAAAAAAAATCGATATGAGATACACACAAATAAAAAGATACTACTTAGCAACAACATGCGAAAATTACAATAAAATTTGTGAAAATTAATAAATGTGATAATTTTAATATACAATATTGAACAAAGTACCCTATAATATGGCAGAATTTCAGTTGTGGAAATATGAAAAATTTCAGTAATAAAAAATATCAGTGATAAATTAAGATAATTTGAATTTTTATGACCCGCCTAATTTTCGATAAGTAAACACATGTGTGGAAATTATAAATGATAGATAAAAAAATCATAAAAATATTAAAATTCTTTTATTTTTTAATTTTTATTTTTAAATAACACGAAAATACTCATAAATTATTTTATTTCTAACAAAAATCCTTTAAAATTGGTATAATTTCCTTTAAACTCATAAATTATTTTATTTCTAACACAAATCCTTTGAATTTGCTATTAATTCCCTTGAAACGCCATGAAAAACGCTTAAAACGTGCTTATTGACACATACGTTACGTTTACGCTACGTCACTGAGTAATTCTTAACAAGTCATCACCAACACATGTGTAAATAACGGTTTACAGTTAATGATGTTACAGAATTACTTCAATTTGTAAGGTAGTGATTACGTCGCGTTACGAAGCGCACTAATTTTAGAAAATAATCGTTATTTATCGATTATTGTTAAGCAGCTGTAAGCTTACTGATATTAAATAGTTTTTTTTTTCAATTAAATTTTGTAATTCGTATAAAAATTGTATCATATTATCCATTCACAATAGTGCTACACATGTTGGGTTATCAATTCCCGGTACATTGCTCACAATAAAATCAAATTGAATGCCAATGAAACTATTTAAAAAAGGTTATAAAAATGTGTCATATTATCCATTCACAATAGTTTTTTACATGTTGTGCTATCAATTTCCAGTACATTGATCACAGTAAATCAAACTAAAAGCCAAGGAATCTAATTAGAAAAAGTAATAAAAAATAGATCATATTATCCATTCACAATAGTGCTACACGTGTTGGGTTGTCAACTCCAAGTACATTGGCCACAGTAAATCAAACTAAACGCCAAGGAAACTAATTTAAACAATTTATAAAAAATATAACATATTTTCATTCACAATAGTGCTACATGTGCTGCGTTATCGATTCCCAGTACATTAACCACAGTAAATCACACTAAAAGTCAAGTTAACTAATTTAAAAAATATATAAAAATATGTATCATATTTTCATTCACAATAGTGCTACAAATGTGTGCGTTTTCAATTCCCAGTACATTGACCACTGTAAATCAAAACAAATGTCAAGAAAACTAATTTAAAAGAAGTTATAAAAAATGTGTATTATATTATCCATTCACAATAGTGTTCCATATGTGTGTGCTATCAATTCCCAGTACAGTGACGACAATCAAATGAGAATGGAAAGTCAATGAAACTAATTAAAAATGTTATAAAAACTGAATCCTATTTTCATTCACAATAGTGGTACATTGTTTATGTTTTCATGGTCAATTCGCAATAATGGATTTTCCAGCAAACTTGAGAAACAGCTGATATCAAGCTGTTTTCCCAGAAAGACCTTATTAATATGCCTTGGCATGTGGGTTATCTAAATTCCATACATTGACTACAAGAAAATATATCTAAAAGTACAGCTTTAAAAAGTGCCGTATATTAAATGTCTTTCTTTAAAGGATAAATTTACATGTAACAAAGATGATTTACCAAAATCAAATAGCTGAATTAAGAAAGACACAAAAATGGCTAGCTAATAAAAAATTGACAGGAAAAAGTTAATTTAATCAAAATAGTAATATTTCATTGCTTCCGATTGATTTGTTATATGAGCCTGGACATAAATAAAGGACCAAGCCCAATTAATAAAGTCATCAAGGGAGATCAGCTGGTTCTCAAGTTTGGTGTTTAAATCCATTGTTGTGAATTGACAACATTAGACTTGAGAAAAACAGCTGAGTGACCTTATTAACAGATTTGGCCAATGCCTATTAATAAGGTCATCCTGGAAGATGTATTATTATGACTTCATATTTGAAACAGCTGTTTTCCAATTTCGATTGCTTTCTGACACAACAAATACGGAACATGTTGCATGCTAGATATCTATTGTGAATTATTAGGATTTATTGATTCGTTGTAATCGTGTGTTGTTATAAATAGGTCGTCAATGTAGCACAGCTGACTATTTAATTAACTGTCAAAGTGCATAGTTTTTACTTGAATTCGATGTGGCAATGTTGCGAACGATAAAAAATATTACTAGAAAAAATTGGTTGGGCGCCACCCAGGTCACTATATAAAAGGTCAACCTTGAAGATAAGTTTCTCATATTTTTTTCGCCCAGGTTATGTGGGTCTTGCACATGAAGAAAAATACTTGCAGCTCTCCAATAGGAAGAAGAATACCTTCATATAAGGTCAACCTTGAAGATAAGTTTCTCATATTTTTTTCATCCAGGTTATGTGGCTCTTGCACAGCTGAAGAAAAATACTTGCAGCTCTCCAATAGGAAGAAGATCACCTTCAGCTCTCCTAGAGTAAAACGAATACCTGCAGTTCTTCAGCAAGAAAAATACTTGCAGCTCTCCTATAGAAAGAAGAATACCTCCAGCTCTTCCACAGGAGGAAAAATACTTGCAGCTATTCTATTCTTTGTTTTTATGCCTGCTTTTCCTTTCTTTAAGTAATATATTAATTTTAGTTATATAAATTTATATTAAATTAAAAATTGATTGGGTGCCACAGATGGTCGGATGAAAAACCAAATGTTTTTGTTTTGATACATCATCTTATTATTGCATCATGAATCAAACTCAAGACCCAGGGAGATCAGCTGGTTATCAGCTGCTTCTCTAGTTTACTGTCATAATCCATTATTGTGAATTGACTTCCATTATGAAATCTTTTGACATTAGACTGTAGAAAAAACAGCTGACTTTCGTTTGCTGTGTGACCTTATTAATAGATCCATGGCCTATAAATAAGGTCACCCAGGGAGACCAGCTGTATATCTGTGCCACTCAAGTTTGCTGTCAAAATGCATTATTGTGAATTGACTTGCATTATGAAAATGTAAACAAAGTCCACATTTTTTACATTAGACTTGAGAAAAAACAGCTGACTTTCGTTTGCTGGTTGGCCTTATTATTAGATCTTGATCAACCTTTAAAAAAAATCCCTCCCTAATTAAAAGCAAGGTGGGTTCCAATGGCACGTGTCACACATGTTAACCCGTCATTGTGAATTATTATTATACCCCCCTTTAAACGTGTTTCCAAGCGTGCATATCACTATTAACAACTTCTCTTATCTTTTGCAAACCCACCATACCCAATCATTTTCGGGTAGTGTTCATATCAGATATTATAAATATGTATAAATATGATTGTTGGTACGCTTATTATGGCAAATGGAACTAATGTCAACAAAACAAAACGAACCAAAAAAAAAACAACAACAAATAAAAAATGTGGTTTTTTGAAAGGTGCAAAGTCCAAAACCCCGTTCACACACGCACACCAGTTTAATAATGGAAGTTGTAGAGACATGCAAACTTAATGTTAATTAAGGAGGATGATGATGAAAATGGTAAAGAAGAAAGGTAATGGGGGGGTGGAGGAGAAAAATATAAAAAATATACACACACGAACATATGTTTGGGCAATAAGCTGTGCAACACATGTGCTTGAGTTTATTTTGGTTTTTAGCACTCATGGAAATTTTTTAGTGAACTCATACTCTTTTTTTTGTTTGTTTTTGCTATTTTCTGATTGCTGAGTGTACAAAAAAAAAACGTTTTTTAGTTTTTAGATAAAAACTCTGTTACCTTACAATGTGTGAAAGAGAGAGAGAGAGGGAGAGTGAGATAAAAAATACTGATCTTTGTGTCAGTGTTCTCATAGAATTAAGAGATGTTGTCGTGTAATTTGTGTGGGGGGATTTGAGAAGGAGAAGAAGAAGAAGAGGGGAAAGGGGAAGGGGAGAGAGATTTTTGTTTGTAAAACAATAAAACTAGTTCCCCCCTTCTCAAACAAAAAAGAGATACATGTGCAGCATTTTGCCGCTTCTTTTGTTGTGGTTTGTTGTTGTCT